AAAAAAACACTGCTTTTGAGTTTTGTCACAGTTACTTAGGATCTAATGTCTGTATTAACTGTTCTAAGGTAAATTGATACAATGGAAGCCATTGGCCAGGATAAAATGAAGGGCAAAATAAGGTATTTTTTTGTAAAAATAATTAGGTAGTATTAGTAAACTAAAATATAACAAATGCTAGGGCTTTGGAATAATGCCTACCTGAGTTAAATTTTTACATAATTATTATATTATGCACTGGCAGGGTCAATCATTTACCAAAGTTTACAAACCAAGCACAACTGTCCATCTTAGTGCCAGGCTTGTCTTCTTTCTTACTCTACTTCACCTCCTACCTGAGCCAGGTCATTCTTTGGACTGGGCAGGCATACAGGGGATTGGCTCCTGCTTTCCATGAACCTCATGAACACTCCAAACTACTGGGATACTTGCGATTCAACATCAAGGATATATGTACTATTTTTTTTTTTTTTTTCAGTATCTGTTGATATATAGTAGACTTTGGATGTTTTTATGTTTCCTTAAATTTGTTTCTGAAGTTTCAGGGTTACAAATCATTCAAAAGGGATAATAAGCATAACTTGCTCTATTATAATTCACATAGGGCAGAACAATGTTTGTTATCTCATAAGACCTCAATTAGTAATATTCCAATAGGGAGAGATATTATCCCTATTGCTGAAAAGGAAATTAAGGTTACAGAGAATCATGCAACTGGAAAGAGGTAGAATTAAACTGTATATTCAGGTAACATTTTTTTTTTTTTTTGCTAAAAGAGAAAATAGATTGCATTAATTTCATGCTTTAAACTCTCACGTGAATAGCTATTTTCTGAAAGAAAGCAAGAAAGAGAGAGAGAAAGAAAGAGGGGAAAAAGGAAAAAGAAAGATCATTCCACAGCTCGTCTTTCAAGGCCTGTCTTGATTTGGTCCTTCCTACTTCTCCATCCTTGACATTATTTTCCCTTGTCCCTTGAAACATGTTCAAATAACACTACAATCAAAGAACAATTATCTAAATGCTTTATATTGGTTCATATTTTAGTGCTTTGGCATATGAATTCCATCTGCCTGAAATATCTTCCTACTCACTACTAAGGAACTTGTATATATCATCTCTTCAGCAACGTCTTCATTACAAATAATACACACAAAATGCAGTGAGTACCATGGTCTGTCCAGAAAGGAAGGTGTGCTAAAATATAGAAGTAAACAATGCTGTGTAGATAGAAGGATGACAAAATTATTAGGGCTTTGGAAACCAGGCAGAATTTATATTTGAATTATCCAATGAGCTACTCTGGCTCCTGATTCCCTTACATTTTAAATAAATAAACAGAGACCTTCAGTCAAGATGACATGCACACGAAGAGTGACAAAAATGAAAAGTCAGGCTGATATTAACTTGACAATGAGCAATTATTGAACAGGCTGAAATGGGAAGAATATCTATTCAATCTGGTGAAGTTTTTTTTTTTCCTTTATATTTTAAATCTTCTCAAAATCAGTAGAACAGATAAGGTTTGAAAGTTGTTTTAAGGTACAGATATTCACTTGTTTTTATTTACCTTTAAATTGTTTTTAATTTTTTAACTCAGGTATTTATAGAATACCCATTATGTGCCCAAAGCTCTCCAGGTGCTGAAGATACAGTGATGATTATGACAGGTGTACAGCTTGGAGCTTACCTTACTGGGAGGTGCTGGTTGATGTTGTTAGGTGCCATTGTGTTGACTCTGACTCACAGCAACACTACATACAACAGAATGAAACACTGCCTGGTTTTTCATAAGCCTCACAGTCCTTGCCATACTTGAGCCCATTGTTACTGCCACTGTAACAATCTATCTCATTGAGGGCCTTCCCCTGTTTCTCTGACCCTTCACTCTACCAAGTATGATATCCTTCTCTAGGGAATGGTCCCTTCTGACAACATGATCAAAGTAGGTGAGATAATGTCTGGTCATTCTCACTTCCAAGAAGCATTCTGACTTTACTTCTTCCAGATAGATTTGTTAGTTTTCCTGACACTTCATGGTACCTTCAGTATTCTTCACCAACACCACAACTCAAAAGCATCAACTTTTTCTTGGTCTTTCTTATGCTTTCTTATGCATATGAGGTGATTGAAAACACCATGGCTTAGGTTAGGTGCACCTTAGTCTTCAAAGAGACAGTGTTGCTCTTCAGCTCTTGAAAAAGGACTTTTGCAACTGATTTGTCCAGTGCAATACATCGTCTGATTTCTTGACTGCTGCTTCCAATGGTGTTTGTCAAACCAAGTAATATATCTTTGACAACTTCACTCCTCTCCATTTATCATGATCATGCTTATTGGTTAAATTGTGAGGAGTTTTGTTTTGGTTATATTGTGGAGTAATCCATACTGCAGACTGTAGTCTTAATCTTCATCGGTAAGTGCTTCAAGTCATCTTTACTTTCAGCAAGCAAAATAGTGTCATCTGCATATCTCAGGTTGTTATTGAGTCTTCCTCCAATCCTGATGCCACATTCTACCTCATATAGTCCAGCTTTGCAAATTATTTGCTCAGGCTACAGATTGAATGAGTATAGTGAAAGGATACAACCCTGATGCACTCCCTCCCTGATTTTAAACCATGCAGTATCCTCTTTTGTGTTCAAATGACAGCCTTCTGGTTTATGTACATTTTCCTCATGAGCACAATTAAGTGTTCTGGAATTCCTTTTCTTCTTAATGTTATCCATAATTTGTTGTGATCCACACAGTTGAATGCCTTTGCACAGTCAATAAACATGCAAAGTAAACATCTTTCTGCTATTTTTTGTTTTCAACCAAGATCTATCTGACCTAGCAATGATATCCTGCATTCCACCTCCTCTTTTGAATGTAGCTTGAATTTCTGGAAGTTCACTGTCAATAAATTACTACAACTCTTTTTGGATTATCTTCAGCAAAATTTTACTTGTATGTGATATTAATAATATTGTCTGAAAATTTCCACATTCTGTGGTATCACCTTCCTTTGGAATGGGTACAAATATAGATCTCTTCCAGTCATTTGACCAAGTAGCTGTTTTCCAAATTTCTTGGCAAAGACAAGAAAGTGCCTCCAGCCCAACATCCGTTTGTTTAAACACATCAATGGGTATCCCGTCAATTCCTGGAGCCTTGTTCTTTGCCAATTCCTTCACTGAAGCTGCGACTTCTTCCTTTAATACCATTTGTTCTTGATCATATACCATCTCCTGAAATGGATTCTTTTTGGTACAGCAACCTTCTGTATCCTTCCATCTTCTTTTGATATTTCCTCCATCATTCAATATTTCACCCATACAATCTTTCAGTATTGCAACTTGAAGCTTGAATTTCCCCTCACTTTCTTCAGCTTGAGAAATGCTAAGCATGTTCCTCCCTTTTGTTTTTCTAGCTCCAGGTCTTTGGACATTTCATTAAAATAATTGACTTTGTCTTCTTGAGCTACTCTTTGAAATCTTCTGTTTAGCTTTTTTTTGTCTTGTCATTTCTTCCATTTGCTTCAGCTACTCTCCATTCAAGAGCAAGTTTTGGAGCCTCTTCTGACATA